TTAAAGGGCTGGGGGTGTAGCTCAGTGGCAGCACGTGTGACCCCCTGGGTTCAGTCCCCAGTGTTGTGAAGATAAACTCACAAACAGAAATAATCCTTTTAAAAACGTTACTTCTTAAATTAATCTATAAATTTATGACAATTAAAAATGGTTGGGTTGGGGATTTAGCTCAGTGGTACCACCGCCTCACAAGTGCAAGGACCTGAGTTTGATCCCTGGTACCAAAAATAAATAAATAAATATTTTTTTTGGCTTAAAGCTCACCTAGAAAACTAAACAAGCAGAAATAGCCAGGAAAAAAAGAAGTAATGAGTAGAGACTCAAGGTATGAAACTGGGTGTGGTAGAGCATGCCTGTAATCCCAGCACTAGGCAGGCTGAGGCAGGAGGATTTGTGTTCAAGGCCAGACAGGATTACATAGTTTAGATCAGTGGAAGATAGAGAAATCCAGAAAAGAATCCAAATGCCTATGGGAATGTAAGAGATGATAAAAGCATTTCAAATTTATTAAGAAAAAATGAGTCAATCAATGAGATTAAATCCTTGAGCAGAGGCATGTGTCTGCGTCTGTAGTCCCTAGATATTCAGGAGGCTGAGTCAGGATGACCCCTTGAGCCCAGGCATTCAAGGCCAAACCCATTTCAAAACCATATCTCAAGAATAAATAAACATTGAGAAAAAGGGTCAATCTAGGAAAAGTAAAACTGGATTCATAATTTGTATCTTAGAAGAAATTCCAGATGAACTCAAGATTTAAATGTTTAAAAGGTATGGAGGGGCCGGGGATTTAGCTCAGTGGTTCTGCTGCCTGCTTCACAAGCGCAAGGAGAGGAGTTCGATCCCTGGTACCAAAAAAAAAAAAAAAAAAAAAAAAAAAAAAGGCGGGTGGGGAATGCAGCTCAGTGGTAGTTCACTTGACCAGTGTGTGTGTGTGAGGCCCTGGGTTCTCTCTTTAACACCACAGGAGGAAAAAAAGTTTCCAAAAAAATGAATCAATGAATGAGATATAATCATCTCAGTGTAGAAAGAATCTTTTTAAAACTATGACACGAAACCCAAAAGCTATAAAATTTTATTTTTATGGGCTGGGGATTTAGCTCAGTGGCACCATACCTGCCTTGAAAGGTCCTGAGTTTGATCCTCAGTACCATAAAAAAAAATGTTTTTATGACACTGTGACTATACAGCAAAGTGAGAATGATTAACTGAAGAAAACATTTACAATTTATATCTTTTACTTTTGGTGCTGGGGTTGAACCTAGGGCCTCATGCATGTCACTGCTCTACCATTGAGCTACATCCCCAGCCCTGTAATTTATATTTTAAAGGAGGACTCTAATTGCTGTAAGAAGCCACAATCAGTGGAGAAAAGGACAATTCACAGAAGAGAGAAACGACTCTTAAACACGAAAATGTTCTTGAGCTCACTCAAAAGAAAAATACAAATTAAAACTTCACCAGGAGACCATTTCCCACTTCTCAGTTTGGCAAAGATTTAAAAAATGTAGTACCTTGTTGTTCGGTGAGTGTTCTGGAAATCAGGTTTTTCTTTTTTGTTGTTTTTTTGTTTTTTTGAGACAGGGTCTCACTATGTAGTTGAGACTGACCTGGAACTCACTATGTAGCCCAGGCTGGTCTCAAACTCACTGCGATCCTCCTGCCTCAGCCTCTTAAGTGCTGGGATTACAGGTGTGCGCCACCACGCCTGGCCAAAATGGATTTTGGCTTAGCCCTTGGCTGAGCAATTCTAAGAATCCATTCTACAGATGACCCCTTAGGTTTTTAACAGGTGTATAAAGCCACTCACTGTAGGACTTTACTCTGCTTTTACACTGAACAACTTAAATGTCCATCAATAAAGGGCTATGAATGTTATGTCCATAAAGAGGAATATAATACAGCTGTAAAAAGGGATGTGTGAGTAAGAAACCATCTTGAAAATATGTAGATAGGTACACAACAGAATGTATGGACTTCCATCATTTGAGTTTAATAAAAGAGGATAAGAAATAGATGCATATTTGGTGTGGGGTCTTATCTGACACTTCACACAGCATTTCCCATTCCAGCTTTCCAACACCAAAGGAGTACTTAGCAAGTCCACTGTAGGCACAGTGGCACCTCTAAGATAGAGTTCTGCATAACACATGCCCAGTGCTTGGTTGAGTCCATAGCTCCACAAAGAAAAATATAAAGTAAAGATTCTTTTTTTTTTTTTTTTTTTTTTTTGAGACAGGGTCTCACTATGTAGTTTATGCCAGCCATTAACTCACTATGTAGCCCCTGCTGGCCATGAATTCATGGTGATCCTCCCGCCTCAGCCTCCCAAGTGCTGAGATTACAGACATGCGCCACCACACCCAGCTCCACTACTAACTCTTGAGGTTAGCACTGACCCCACATGGCAACTCTGTTCTACATTAGCTTCCCCTGCTTCAGACGCCAGCTGAATGGGGCTCCCACCTCTCACCTCTTCAACAATGCACTAGGAGGGCCAGGGATGTAGTTCAGTGGTGCTGGGCCTGCCTAGCAAGTGCAAGGTCCTGAGATCAGTTCCTGGTACCAGAAAAAAAAAAAATCTAATTTAAAAAAGCTCTAGAAGGCTTGCAGAACCCAGGGCTTTATTTACTAGGGCTGGCACAGCCAGATTAAAGAATTGCAGACCAAGGATTGGAGTTGGGGCATACAGAGGCCCCCCTCCCAGCAGGTCTGTGTGTTCAAGACTATTTAATACCAATTGTAGGCCTCCCCGCTCTGACTTCCCACCCTCTAGACAGGTCTTTCTGATAACCAGCTCCTACCCATCATTGTATTAGCATAAACTCTCCATGAGAATAATTCAGAGACTTCCATGACAAAAATTACTTCTGCCAGATAGGGTGGGTCTGCAATCCCAATAGTCAGGAGGCTGAGGCAGGAGGATCCCCTAGAATTTGAGGCCAGTTTGGGCTATATGGTGAGACTGTCTCAAAAAAAAAAAAAAAAAATCTATCACTCAGAATATTCTATTAGGATGGGCCTGTGGTAGTGTTGCAAGGCTGTAGTTCCAGCACTCTGGAAACTCTTGAGGCAAGAGGATCGCCATGAGTTCAAGGCCAGACTGGGCTAGATATCAAGTTCAAGGACAGCCTGAACTTCCCAGTGAGATCCTGTCTCATGAAACCAAAATAAATAAATAAATAGAACCAGGGGCAGAGGTCAGATCTCACTGTGACCATGCAACAGTGGCAGTTGCGTATACCGATCATAGTGGGTCAGTGAGGAGGTAGGGTGGGCAGCCTGGAGAGACGGCAGCCTTAGGTCTTAGCAACTGCGTTTCGTGTGTGTATCAATCAAATATGGATATCATTCAATTCTATCACACCTGATCGAGTATATTGAGATTCTTTCTCTGGAAGGACACAGGAAACCATTACTCTCATTGCCCCAGATCAAGAAGCCGGTGGCTGGGAGCTGAGGTAGGAGGAAGACTCTTGACGCCAAATGTGCATGTGAATGTATCTCCTGTTTGAAAATGAAATACTTTTTAGTCCTTGTCTAACTTCTGTCCTGTCTCCAGGTGTTCTCACCTCTGGCCCTTGGGAGCCACTTGGGACCTGCAGGGCCATCGCTGGGCTCCTCCAGCCTCTCGCCTCCAGGGCCAGCTTTCCCATCGCCCCTCTGCCTCTCTCTCCAAGGCAGCCCACCCTGTGATCTCATTCAGGGCAAATACCACAACTATTCAAATCCTACAACTCCCACTGTAGTTCATAGATGAAGCAACAGAGGCATGGGGAGATCAGACATGCTGGGACTTGGAATTTGAATTTAAACTCTTTGGTTCCAAAGACCAAGGCTTAATCACACTCTAGACTATCTTTCTGTCAATATCCAGGATACCTTCTGTGGGCTGCCTTCCCTTCTCCATTAACAAGAAATTTGAGTTTGTCTGTGTGCGCTTGCGCGCGTTTGTGTGTGTGTGTGTGTGTGTGTGTGTGTGTGTGTGTGTGTGTACGCGCGAGTGTGTGCACATGCTCATGGTTCTGGGGATGGGATGCAGGGCCCCTTGTGCTAAGCACATGCTCTACCACTGAGCTACACACTACTCTTTCAAGTTCTGTCTTTTTGAGTGAGAGAGAAGGGAGAAAGCTGTATTATAATACGTTAGCCGGGCATGGTGGCGCACGCCTATAATCCCAGCACTTGGGAGGCTGAGGTGGGAGGATCGCTGTGAGTTCAAGGGCAGCCTGGGCTACACAGTGAGTTCAAGTCCAGCTTGAACTACATAGTGAGACCCTGTTTTTTTTAAAAAAAAAATCACTACATTATTTTTCCTTCCTGCCTAGGCTTATTCCTAAATAGTCCTGGCCTGAAGGCATTGCTAGACTGGCTGTAGAACTGTTTTTCATCTGCGCTTCTTCCGGTAGGTACTGAGCCTCTGCAAAGGGCTGCATGTCCTTCAGCTCATTCTCTCCCTCCACTGCAGATCTCATCATCCACAGGGGACCGATATTACAGTAGGGAAACCCAGGCTTGGGCTGACAGCCACTGACCTCCAGTGGGAAGGGACAGGCCGAGCTGGTACAGAGCTTGTACCCACAGATCCTAACCCCAAGAGCTCCCCCATCTCCTTTCCACCTTTGCCCTAGATCAAGAAGCCATATTTATTAGGGGGCCAAGATAAGAGTGGAAACACGTCATAGGTCAGGAGGGCAGTGCTGCTGGCCTGAAGCCCACCCAGCAGATCCTTGGACCAGGCAAGCAGGCGGGCAGCTCTTCACTCTGGGGAGGTCACTGCTGAAGACACAGTGGAGGCTGGGGGAGACAGAGGGAAACTGCCAGGCTCACCACGCTAGGAGAGGGCAAAGCTGGACCCCAGGCCACGTGGTTCTTCCTCCCATCCCGTCATCCTATTTCACCTCCCAGGCTCCCAAGCCAGCCTCCAGCCCCATTCCCAACTCTGCAGAGGCTGTGGGTGTCGCCCTCCAGCTGCGTCTGGAAGTTGTGGGGAGATGACGAGGAAGTCTTCACCCCAGAGGTTTCTGACCACTGAGGGCTAATTTTGCCATTGAGCCCGGTGACACTCAGAGGTCAGGTAAAGGCACTTGGATAACACAGGCGTGGCACTATAGTAGGTGTGGTTCTGGGACAAACCACAGGGGCTGGGAGTGGGGCGGCAGCCAGGGCCTCAGGGGAAGGGACCCGGCCCTGAGGGCAGGACCTCTGAATCCCACCAAAGTGGGAGCACTGCTCCTGAGTCCAGGCCCCGTGGGTGGGCTCCTTCAACATGACCTGGGAGGAGTAGGATAGACAGTGCACAGGGCCAGATGCCAGCCTAGACTCTCCTCCTCACAACACAGAAGCCCACCTGGGAGGACCGCACAGCCCTCTGGTGCATGAACTGCCCCACCTGGAGCACCCATCTGGCCCCAGGGCCCATAGGAAAATCTCACACTTGGATTCTGTTAGGGAATTGATCATGTTAAAGTATGCTGTGACGCCGCCTCACAGGCTGCATTCTCCTGGTACATCTTGGCTCCTAAAATGACCTCATGCCCTTATCCCTGGTTTCCCTCCCCCACAAGGCCACAGTGGTCCAGGAAGTTGAAACCTGTCTGCAGGACTGGGCCCATAAAAGCAATCTGGCCTGTGATAGGTTAAAAGTAGCTCACTCCTCATAAATAAGCAATAGCCCACCCCAAAACTGATAAAAGGACCTTCCTTTCTTTGTTCTCTCTCTCCTTCTGCTTCTTCCTCTTCCTCTCTCTCTCTTTCTCTCTGCCTTCCTGCCTCCTGCTCGCCTCCCTACAATAAAGATCTCCTGCCGGACCTCTCGGTGCGTGAGTGGCCTAATTGGGAAGGGGCACCCGAAAGGGCACGCGAACCCCCCTTTCAGATTCCTCCATGTGCTCTGCCACCCTCTACCCCACACCTTGTTCCCCTCACCTTATCTGAAATCTGGAAACAGGGGTCTTTGAAGAGGAACTCCTGGAGAAAACTCTCCTGTGGGAGAAGAGAAAGCTGTGAGTCTGTCACTCCTGTATGGATACAAGTGGCATCAAAAGCACCAGAGTTGGGGCTGGGGATTTAGCTCAGTGGTTCTGCTGCCTGCCTTGCAAGCGCAAGGACCCGAGTTCGATCTCTGGTACCAAAACAAACAAACAAAAAAGCGCCAGAGTCCACCTCACCACTTAGCCCACATTCTGACACAAGCTCTCCTGTCTGCCAAGCATGGGTCACGTAAGAGGGCAGAGCAGAGGCCTCCAAGGCCAGGACAGACAGGGCAGGGTCCTGCCTTTCAGAGCTTTTATGCACTGGGCCCCACAGCCCCTCGTGGAGCAAGGCCTGGAGCTCCTGGTCCTGGAGAGGATAAGACACCCACAGACCTCGCACTTCACCTGGGTGGTAGCCACAGGGGCAGTGGCAGAGTCCTGAGCATCACTCATCTTGCAGATGGGGGGGACAGAGCCCGGTGACCTGAGGGGACAGCAGCCTCAGCCCTTAGCAACTGTGCCTCGAACCCACAAATCAAAGGGTGCTGAGTCTGCCTGGACCCAAGGTTGGGAAGGTGGAGGGCAGGGTGCAGAGACTTGGGCACTCAGAACAGGGGATTCCTGAGCGATGAAGAGGCCAGCAACAAAGTGGTGGAGGGGGTGAAGGGAGGGCAGGGATGGGGGAAAGAATGAGAACCAAGACCTATCCTGTAAAGGTATAGAATCCCAATGATGAATGTAACTGTACTGTATACCTAAAATGTACCAATAAACTCAATGAGAAAAACAAAAAACAAAGCAAAGAGCTCCTGGGGCTGACGCACCCCAACCCTCCATTGGGCACCCCAGGCCAGGACAGAGAGTAATACCAGCCGCAGCAACACCACTGAGGCCTCTGAGGGCCTGGAGCTGTGCCACAGGCCTGAAGAGCTGGCCTTGGTTCATCCTATAAGTGCAACACTGACCCGTTCTGCACCGGAAGCAATGAGGCCTCCCAGCCAGGGAAAGGTGGCTCCTATTGACTCCAAAAGCCAGAAGGTTTAACTGTTTCCATTGCCTGCAACTCTCAAGACTGAAATGGAGAGTTAGAAAGGCCACTGAATGAAAATAGAAGGGAAGAATGGAAACCAAGCTTTTGTAGATAGGGAGGAAGGGGGTCTTGGGTGGGGAGGGATAAAATAAAATTTATTTTTAAAAAAGGCTACTGGGGCCGGGGATTTAGCTCAGTGGTTCTGCTGCCTGTCTTGCAAGAGCAAGGACCCGAGTTCAATCCCTGGTACCAAAAAACAAAAACAATTTAAAAAGGCCACTGATCCCTATACAGAAGGGAAACTGAGGCCCAGAGAAAAGCATGACATCAAATCCCAAAAACTTGGACTTAGCCAGGCATGGTGGTGCACACCTCTAATCCTGGCACTCGGGAGGCGGAGGCAGGAGGATTACTGTGAGTTCGAGGCCAGCCTAGGCTACATAGGGGGACCTTGTCTTCAAAACAAAATGAAACAAACGAAAGAACCCTTGGATTAAAAGCAAGGTGAAGTGGGGCCTCAAACATTTCAAGCTACTTTCTTAAACACTCCCTCTTCCTTCTGGGGATGCCAATTGGGACACAGAACAAGGTGCTCACAAGCAGCCAAGCCTCTTCCCGCCAGAAACCCCAACGTCACTCAGAAGTTACTCTACCGGCTGCACAGCTCCCAGGGCCAGCCAGCGGCTGTATAAAACCTGTGGGTGGCCCCTCCCCCCAGCTCCTTCACCAATCAGGCTCCTTGGGGGCAGGACTTAGCCCTCACCTCTCAATTCCACCTGATAACCCAGTCATTACACAGGAACTGCAGCTCCCAGGGGAAGATCTCTGCCAGTTTTCCCTCCTGTAAGAGTAGACAGTGGACACCAGAGCCTGGAACCCTGCAGGATAGGTAGGAGGCAAAAGCAGCCCCGGGAGTTTAGCCCAGAAATAAAGTCTAGTCATCCAGGGTTGGTGAGTTAATTTCATTTTATTTATTTTTTGTGGTACTGGGGATTGAACCTAGGACTGAACTGTATCCCGAGCTTTTTATTATTTATTTATTTATTTAGACAGGGTCTCATTATGTAGCCTAGGCTGGCCTTGAATTGGCAGTGATCCTTCTGCCTTGGCCTCTGAGATTACAGGTGAGCGTCATCACGGCCAACTAGGTGAATATTGGTTTTGGTTTTGATTTCTGGACACAGGGTCTCACTAATGTCGTTCACGCTGGCCTGAAACTATGTTGTCTAGGTTGGTCTCGAACTCATGGCAGTGCTCCTGCCTCAGCCTCCTGAGTGCTGGGATTATAGACATGCACCACCACACCTGGCCTGGATGAATAAATTGTAATTCATGAGGTGTCTTGCCAGAATGGAGTCTCTGGGTCTCTGTGAATATCTCTGAATTTAAGTCCTCGCTCGGTGCCCTTGGATGTTGGTACCCCTGGGTTTCAGGGTGTCCCTCTGGCCACCTCCGGTGCTCCCTGAGCCCCCCAGACAGGGGGAGCCCCTCCCTCCTAGATCTCAGCAGTTGTCTTCTTCCTGTCTGTGTGCACGTATGGTTTCCCTCCCATGTTTGCCTTGTCTGCCCAGCAAGGAATCGCTGAACCCAGCGGGCACCACAGCCTAAAAACCCTGGTGCTCACCAAAGAGGCGGGAACCAAGGCAGCCTGTGTGCTCCTCAGAGCAGCGGGTGAAGTGGGAAACAACCTTACTTGCAGGGTGTGGTGGCGCACACCTGTAGTCTCAGCTATTTTCAAGGCTGAGGCAGGAGGATATCAAGTTCGAGGCTGACTCTGACAACTTAGTAAGACCCTGAAACAAAAATAAGTAAATAAATAAAAATTTAAAGTAAGACAGTAAAGGAAAAGGATGCAGCTCCATGGTAGAGTACTTATTTGACATATGTAAGGTTCTGGGGATCAATCGCCAGTACCACCCCCCCACCCCATGCAAAAAAGTAATGTTAAAATAAAACCCAGAGGGCCAGGGATTTAGCTCAGTGGTTTCACTGCCTTCCTGGCAAGCTCAAGGACCCAGGTTCAATCCCCAGTACCAAAATAAATAAACCCCAGAGAGGTTAAGCAACTTACTCGTAGCCACACAGCTAGTAAATGAAGAGCCAAGTTTTCACCTGGCTGCCCGGTCTGGGCTCCACAGGTGGCACAAGCTCAGGGAGTCTGGGGCCCAGCCAGCTGGTCCAAGGCTGTTTGTGGCTGAAGCCCTGACCCGGAGAAGGTGCTGAGTAAAGCTCCACGAACCACCATGGCAGCTGTGCCCAACCTCTCTCACCCACCTCTGACTCAGCTAGAGAAGAACATGCAAAGAAGAAGCCTGTGAGGGGTGAGCTGCCTTCACCCTGGGAGGGTGAGCTGATTGCAGGCCCATTGCTTGCAGAGCCAGCCGAGGAGATTTGTCCCTGTCTAAAAAGAATTTGAATCGGGCATGGTGGCACTTGACTCTAATCCTAGCACTTTGGGAGGCTAAGGCAGGAGGCTTTCAAGTTTGACCCCAGCCTGGGCAACTTATTGAGACCCTTTCTCAAAATAAAAAAATAAATGGCTGGAGCCAGGCATCGTGGTGCATGCCTGTAATCCCAGCACTCAGGAGGCTGAGGCAGGAGTATCACTGTGAGTTCAAGACCAGCCTGGGCTACATAGTGAGGTCCAGGTCAGTCTCAACTACATAGTGAGACCCTATCTCAAAACACACAAAAAAATGGCTGGGGATTCAGCTCAATGGCATGTGCGAGCACGCACTCACGCGCGCGCACAAGCGCACACACACACACACATACATTTAGACCAACACAGATGTTGCTTAGCAAGTTTAGAAAACATCTGTGCCCCCTTCCCCCAGCTTCCTCCAAAGTTAGCATCTTACATAATCATAGTATAATTACAACCAGGAAGCTGATGTTGGTACAGCCAAACTACAGACCTTATGCTGATTTCATCAGTTTTTATATATGCTGTCTTTTGTTTTGCTCTGGTTTTTGGTATACAGTACCACAACTTTTATTATTACACAGATTCGTGTTACCACCATCTCAATCAGGACAGAACATTTCTTCAAAGAAACTCCCCCACGCTGTGTCTTTGTAGCACCCTGTCCTGACCCTAATCTATTCTGTCTCAGTAATTTTGTCATTTCAAAAATAAGTGAACCAGGCCCGGGATTTGGCTCAAAGGTGCTGAGTAAAGCTCCACGAACCACCATGGCAGCTGTGCCCAACCTCTCTCACCCACCTCTGACTCAGCTAGAGAAGAACATGCAAAGAAGAAGCCTGTGAGGGGTGAGCTGCCTTCACCCTGGGAGGGTGAGCTGATTGCAGGCCCATTGCTTGCAGAGCCAGCCGAGGAGATTTGTCCCTGTCTAAAAAGAATTTGAATCGGGCATGGTGGCACTTGACTCTAATCCTAGCACTTTGGGAGGCTAAGGCAGGAGGCTTTCAAGTTTGACCCCAGCCTGGGCAACTTATTGAGACCCTTTCTCAAAATAAAAAAATAAATGGCTGGAGCCAGGCATCGTGGTGCATGCCTGTAATCCCAGCACTCAGGAGGCTGAGGCAGGAGTATCACTGTGAGTTCAAGACCAGCCTGGGCTACATAGTGAGGTCCAGGTCAGTCTCAACTACATAGTGAGACCCTATCTCAAAACACACAAAAAAATGGCTGGGGATTCAGCTCAATGGCATGTGCGAGCACGCACTCACGCGCGCGCACAAGCGCACACACACACACACATACATTTAGACCAACACAGATGTTGCTTAGCAAGTTTAGAAAACATCTGTGCCCCCTTCCCCCAGCTTCCTCCAAAGTTAGCATCTTACATAATCATAGTATAATTACAACCAGGAAGCTGATGTTGGTACAGCCAAACTACAGACCTTATGCTGATTTCATCAGTTTTTATATATGCTGTCTTTTGTTTTGCTCTGGTTTTTGGTATACAGTACCACAACTTTTATTATTACACAGATTCGTGTTACCACCATCTCAATCAGGACAGAACATTTCTTCAAAGAAACTCCCCCACGCTGTGTCTTTGTAGCACCCTGTCCTGACCCTAATCTATTCTGTCTCAGTAATTTTGTCATTTCAAAAATAAGTGAACCAGGCCCGGGATTTGGCTCAGCGGTTCTGCCACCTGCCTTGTATGCACAAGGTCCCAAATTCAATCCCTGATACCAAAAAAAAAAAAAAAAAAAAAAAAAAAAAAAAAAACAATAAGTGAACCTGTAGTATATGACTTCTGAGACTGGCTTTTTCACTCAACACAACACCCTTAAAGTCCATCTAAGTTTTTGCGTATATCAGTAAAACAATCCTAGCCTGGTATGGTGGTGCACACCTGTAATCCCAACCCTCTGGGAGACAGAGGCAGGGGGATTCCAAGTTTGAATCAGCCTGGGCAACTTAGCTAAGACCGAGCTAGACTGTCTCAAAAGAAAAAAGAAAAAGCTTGAGAATGTAGGGCTCAGCCCCTGGTACCACCACCGCCACCAAATAGAGAAAGGTCGTTGTTAGAGTCATAGAGCCTCTTATATTTCTCTAAAGGCTTATGGTGCCAAACATCTTTTCCTGTTCTTGTTTTCTGTTGTGGGTTAAATAGCATTTCCCAAAAGACATGCTGCGGTCCTTATCCAGTTACCTGTGAAAATGATGTTATTTGGAAATAGTCTTTGCAGAAGTAATCGAGTGAATACAAGATCCTATTCATTTAAATAGGGTGGGTCCAAATCAGTCTGACTGATGGCCTGAGAGGCGAGGAGACCCAGAAATAGACACCAAAGACACCAGCACATGGGCTGACGCTTCAATGACAAAGGAGGTGGAAATTGGAGTTATGAAACTCATACCAGCCAGAGAGAGAGCATGTGGCCCTGGATTCTAGACTTTTGACCTCCAGAACTGTGAGAAATCAATCTCTGTTGTTTTAAACCACCCACTTTGGGGTCCTCTGCTACAGTGGCCGTAGGCCACTAACACATTCTCCATCCACATAGCTTCTTGGGTGAATCATCCATTCCAAACTCTTGCTTCTTTGTTCACTGGGGTTTTTTTTCTTCCTGTTTTGTTTCTGAGAGTTCTTTATGTGTTCTGAATACAAGTCCTTTGTGTGATATACGATCTGCAAGTATTTCTCCCACGCTGCACCTTCGCTTTTCATTCTCTTAACATTATCTTTCAAAGAGCAAGTTTTCTTGTGTTTGTTTGTTTTTGTAGTACTGATTGAACCCAGGGCCTTCTTTCTGAGCTACATCCCCAGCTCTTTTTTGTTTGTTTGTTTTTTAATTACTTTTATTTTGAGTCAGCGTCTCAAGTAAGTCACTAAGTTGCCCAGGTTTGGCTTGCCTTAAGATCCTCCTGCTTCAGCCTCCTAGAGTGCTGGGATTACAGGCATGATCTACCATACCTGGTTCACAGCAAGTTTTTAATCTTGAGGATGTGCAATTTATCAAAAATTTTAAAAACTATTGTCAGAAATGTTTCAAAAGAGATCCTCCTATCCCTGAGCACATCTTGTTCCCGAGGTGAAGCAAACAACAAAAACCTTAGAATGGATTAGCTAGGGTGGGGAGAGGAACCCAAAGGCAAACTTGGGCCTCTCCAGCTGCCCCGGGGCGGGGTGGGGGTGAGGCTGAGCCCTGCAAGCGCATGCGCAGAGAGGAGCCCACCACCTACAGTCCCGCTCTGTAAACTGCTCTCTGAGCTGCTGTGCTCTTCTAGAGGAATGGAGGCTCCATGCTCCTCCCAGTCCTGATGACTTCCCAAGGTTCTCACGTGCAGCCCCAGCTGCCCCTTTGACATCTCTGCCTGGATTGTACAGGTAACTCCGACTCATCTGCCCTCATGAACTTGCTCTTGCTTACTTTTTCCTATCTGCTTACCAAAGTTCCTTTTAAAAAAGCAAGCTGGGGTGCTGGGGATGTAGCTCAGTGGTGCCACGCCTGCCTGGCAAGTGCAAGGGTCTGAGTTTGATCCCCAGTACCAAAGTGGGGGGAAGCTGGGCCGGGCATGGTGCACACCTGTAATGCCAGAACTCTAGAGACTGGGGCAGGAGGAGGATCGCTGTGAGTTAGAGACCAGCCTGGGCTACATAGTGAGTTCCAGGTCAGTCTCAACTACATAGTGAGACTCTGTCTCAGAAAAACAAAACAAATAAACAAAAATAAATAAAATAAGAAAGCAACCTGGGCATAGTGGTACATGTCTGTAATCCCAGCACTCTGGGAAGCTGAGGCAGGAAGATTGCAAGTTTTGAGCCCGGCTTGGGCAACTTAATGTTTTAGTAACACCCAGTTTCAAACTAAAAAAATTAAAGAGGGGCTGAGAATGTAGCTCAGGACAAAGACCCTGGGCTGAAATTACATGCACACCCAGAAAAAATAGACAGGGTCTTGCTCTGTAGTTCAGGCTATCCTTGAGCTCAGTACGTAGCCTGCTCTGGCCTCGAACTAACTCTCGTCAGTCCTCCTGTCTCAGCCTCCTGAGTACCGGGATTATAGGTATGTGCCATCATTCCCAGCCCTCCCCACCCAAAAAAAATCTAAAAAGGAAAAAAGAAATGAGGATCAGAGGTACAGCTCAATGGTAGAGCACTTGCTTAGCACCACGCATGAGGTCTTGGGTTCCATCCCCAGGGTAAGAAAAAGGCTGCAAAAAACTTGAAGTCACTGTTTTTTAAGTCACTTTTAAAAAACAAACAATAAAAAAATTGGGCCTCATGCATACTAGGCACGTGCGTTACCACTGAGCTACAGACTCACCTCCAACAAGAACTTACCTGTTTGTTTATTGCAGTGTGGGAATGGAATGCAGGGTCTCCAGGCGTGCCCAGCAAGTGCTCACATCCTCTGTCCCTTCACTTTCATTGCAGCACAGCAGCCACACAGGAAAAGTGCAAAGACCCTAGCTGTGTGCAGTGTGACGAGTGTGCTCCAGCCACCCTGTTGTTCACCCCCACCCACCACAAGGTTAATCGCTATCCTAGCCTCTGTCATCACAGGTTAGTTTTCCTGCTTTTTTTTTGTTTTGTGGTGTCAGGGATCGAACTCGGGACCTTGCACTTGCAAGGCAGGCAGCGGAACCCCTGAGCGAAATCCCCGGCCCAGCTCTCCTGTTTGCAAATAGAGTCACAAGGTCAGACAGCCTTGGGGTGAGATTCGGTTACCCTGCTTCATTCTCCCTGCCCAGGGACAATCCCTTCCATGACGGCTAGGGAGTATTTTTACTCTCTTTCCCCTAACATTCAATTCATCACTAAATATTATGGATTTCAGCTCAAAGACCTCTCCCTTGCTGGCACAGTGGTTCACACCTATAGTCCAGCTGCTTGGGAGGGGGAAGCAGGAGGACTGCAAGTTCAAGGCCAGCGTGGGCAGCATAGTGAGAGTCTGTCTCAAAATAAGATAAGTAAAGGGCTGGGAGTACAGCTCAGTGATAGAGTGCTTCTCTAGCATGTGTGAGGCCCTGGATTTTAAAGACTCTCCTTAATCCACGCCCTCCTCATCTCTTGACTGCTCCCTTCCTGAGCCAAGGCCACAGGTACCACGTCCACTGCCTGGGCTACCGTAAGTGACCTTAAAGAGTCTGCTAGCTTCCTTGCATAATTGACTCTCTCTCTAGAGCTAGAGGATTGGTTTTTTTTGAAACAGGGTCTCACTATGTAGTTGCGACTGACCTGGAACTCACTATGTAGCCCAGGCTGGTCACGAACTCACAACGATCTTCCTGCCTCAGCCTTCCGAGTGCTGGGATTACAGGCGTGCGCCCCCACACCCGGCTTTTTTTTTTTTTTTCCTGAGACAGGGTCTTGCTATATAGTTCAGGCTGGCCTGGAACTCACAGTGATCCTCTCCTGCCTCAACCTCCTGAGTGCTGGGATTACAGGTATGCATCACTCTGCCCAGCTTGGAGGGATCTGTTAAAGATAGGTGGCACAACTGGGTGTGGTGGCCCATACCTATGATCCCAGCAGTCAAGATCCTGAGGCAGGAAGATTTCTGTGAGTTCAAGGCTAGCCTGGACTACATAGTGAGACCTTGTCCCAAAAAACAAAAATCAGAAACAAAAATCAAATAAAAGTAGTGTTGCATCCAGGAGGGAGGGTTTCTGGGAAGTGGGCTGGGAGTCCCCCTTATCTATCCTCTGACTCTCTTCAGGCCCTTGCCCTCACTCTGGTGAAAAATGAAGTGGGGCTCTTAGCAAGAAATGGAGTCAAGACTGATATAGTGTGAAGTGAAAGTTTATTTAAAGTGTGGTGAATGTAGAGGAAGCAGAAGAAAAGCTATCTTAACAGGAGCATGGTACTGCAAGATAGGGGGCTTCCACTCCAGATGCCCATACTTAGGGAGGCAAACAGTTTTATTGATAAGCCAATCAGGGTCTTCACCTGTGTTTCTGGGAAGGGGATAGGGTCAGCACACAGTAAACGTAACACTCTCATAAAGGATACAGTGGGGTACATTTTTTTGTTTGTTTTGTTTTTTGAGACAGGGTCTCACTATGTAGTTAGACTGACCTGGAACTCACTATGTAGCCCAGGCTGGTCTCGAACTCACAGCGATCCTTCTGCCTCAGTCTCCCAAATGCTGGGATTACAGGCGTGATGAGTGTAACTGTACTGTATACCTAAAATGTATCAATAAACTCAGTGAGGAAAAAAAAAGTCCTTCTCAGCCTTTGGGCAATCCCCAACTCCGCACCCTACTCTCCCTATATCTGTAACTCCTTGTTCTGGTACAGATGAAATTGACAACTCTGTCCTGTAAACCAAGTTTATGACACTCTGTTCTCATATGATTCATAAGGCAACTGTCTTCTTTTAAGGCAGTTACAGAACTCTCTGCCCTTGTCCTGTTCTGGTACTCACTTGCTGCGTCACTAGAAAAACCACGCCCTTCGACAAAGTGTATTAAAAGCTGAAACTTTTCTTCGTTCAATGCTCTTCTTTTGGACAGGTGTCTGTTGAGCCGGTGTATACCTTAAACCTGAAATAAACCCTCCGAATTCCCATCGGTCTCTCCCAGCTCCTGGAATTCTGCAACATAAGCACATTTGTTGAATGAATAAGTGGCGGGCAACCTGTTCGGGCTGAGCTCTCCATCGGCATCTAAGACCCTGGCTCCGCCCCACCACCCTCACCCCCACCCCTGCTAGAACAGCTGCTTTCTGGAATTCCTAATGTGGTGAATCTGAGCAGGCGCATTAAGAGCCTAGGGCGTGGCTCTCCCCTTGCTCCTTTCCATCTGTTCCAACCTCTCTAGCCTGGGAGGTGGAATAAAGAAGACTTGGAGAAGCAGAGGATATAAGCAAGAAGTCCACTCTGGTTCTTGAAAGCCCCTGAGACTTGGGGGCTGTTTATTATTGAGCCAAAGCTCTACTTACTGCCTTGATAAACTTAGTGGCTTAAAACAACATATATTTATTACCTTGCAGTTCTGGAAGTCAGAAGTCCAAAATGGGTGTGTCTCACTGGCCAGGGATTTAGCTCAGTGATTCTGCTGTCTCCCAAGCTCAAGGACCTGAGTTCTATCGCCGGTACAAAAAAAAAAAAAAAAAAAAAAGAGAAAAAGAAAATCAAAATGAGTCTCACTGGGCTTAAAGTATCCGTTGGTCTCCTTCGTTTTAGAGATGCTGGAAGCCATTCCCTTCTCTTTGACCTCCCTCCTTCATCATTACAGAGACAGCTAAATAGATGTTTCTGATCTCTGACTGTGTCCCCTCTGTTCTGCCTCATTTACTTTTTTTTTTTTTTTTTTTATTTCTTTTCTTTTTTTCGTTTTTCTTTTTTGAGACAGGGTCTCACTATGTAGTTGAGACTGACCTGGAACTCACTATGTAGCCCAGGCTGGTCTCAAACTCACAGCGATCCTCCTGCCTCAGCCTTCCGAGTCCTGGGATTACAGGTGTGAGCCACCACACCCAGCAGCCTCATTTACTTTTAAAAATTATTTTTTTTATTTTTAATTTTTTTGATAGCTGGTATTAGAACTCAGGTCCTTGCGCTTTTCAGGAAGGTGGCAGAACCACTGAGCTAAATCCCCGGCCCTCAAGATTTTTAATGTAATCTCACCCGCAAACTTCCTTGCCATGTGAGAGCTTATGTTCTCAGGTTCAAGGAAGTGGGACGTCTTGGGAAGCCATTATTCCGCCTACAATGTTCACAGCCTAGTTTACACTATGTTAACTAATACAGTGTGAAATTTATATTCATGCAAGTTTACACATAATTTAGAGAAGCATATGTATGAACAGACTATGTAAATAATGTGCTATTTATAAAATAGTTCATTCTCACTGCATGCTATTTATAAAACAAACACAAGAATAAACAGGCCTCCCGGGCCTGAGGTGGAGCTGGAGGATGCCAGGCAGGTTAAGGTGTAACCTTCTCCCCCAGCCTGTGGCACCAGGGGTTGGCGTGGGCGATGGAGAAAGCCAGGACACAGCATTTAATGAAAAATCCATGTTTAAGGGAGAAGAGTGGCAGGCTTCCTAGATAATCTCTACGGGGCAAGAACGTGAATGTATGGGCTGGTGTGAGAGAAGAAATGCCGTGGCTCCCATGGTTGCGGGCGTAATGTTTCTTACAGGTTGGTGGGTACCGACTGACACAGCAGTGGTCTGTCCTAAGCCGGAACAGTTGAACCACGCTTTTCACACCTGTGGTGTGTTTTCCACATCGGCTCTCTTCGTGGTAAATGCGGTGTCCCACGTGCAGGTGAGAGGTGACAACTGTGAAAGCGGCTCTCTAGGAAGAACAGGTGCTCGAGCTCGGCTCTCTGTTGGTTTCATGTTGATGTCCTGGTCACTTCATTGCTTTCAGGCGGATTCTTTTGGGGGCGTATGTTACCCAACACACTGATGCTTATCCAGGACTATCTGTGTTTTTTTCAGAATGCTCTTATATTTTTTTAGCACTCTGATCTACAGATTTGTTTTTGGTTTTTATTTTTTGGGTTTTTGGTACCAGGAACTCAGGTCCTTCTGCTTGCAAGGCAGACAGGGGAACCATTGAGCTAAATCTCCGGCTGATCTACAAATTTGAAAGAACTGGAGAGCTCTGGACCTGAGTTCACGTCTTAAATCACATTTTCCTTTTATTATGTTCTATTTGTAGATAAGCTTTTTTTTTTGGTACTGGGGATCAAACTCCAGCCCTTGTGCTTGCAAGGCAAGTTGTGAAACCAATGAGCTAAATCCCCAGCCCTAGGTAAGCATTTATCTCTTGATATAATTTACACATTGCCAAATGGAATAGATTGTGCATTAAATGTTTTGGCCCGGGAATTTAGCTCAGTGGCACCGTGCCTGTCTTGCAAGTACCAGGTCCCGAGTCTGATCCCCAGTACCCAAAACAAAAACAAAACAAAACAAAAATAAATGATTTTGTTTCTTTACAGTTTTATGCCCTCAGGTCTGAAATAAGTTTATGAGATTTCTGTCCTTTTTTCATTGACTAGACTGTTAATACGTACATAATATAAGACTGTGTGGATTGGATGATTATCAGATTTTTACTCCTGAGATGTAAAGCTTGATCTGTCCCCCGAGCCGGGGTTGTGTCATTTTAGAGCTAAACACTGCCTCCGTGTCTCTAATTTCTAAAGATGTACAAAAAATGTATTTCTGTACACCTGGAATAAACGCTAAGCCATTTAAAAAGGGATTTCTGCAAGTTGTAATTTATTTTGTCTTAAAGTGAGATATTTTTTAAGGAAAAAGCTTGTTCTGCTGTATTAAAGAAGTGAACTTTAAGCCAGGTGTGGTGGCGCACGCCTGTAATCCCAGCACTTGTGGGGTTGAGGCAGGAGGATCGCTGTGAGTTTGAGACCACCTTGGGCTACATAGTGAGTTCCAGGTCAGTCTCAACTATTTAGTGAGACCCTGTCTCAAAAAATCAAAAAAAGAAGTGAACTTTAATATGAAGATTTTTTTTAAATACCCACAAGACTAGTTGGAAAGCTTCTTTTAAATAGACTTCCTCTGGTATGACTTTATTTGAGAAGGGGTAATACATGATCAAATAAACTCAGCTTTGATGGTTAATGTGAAAAGACTGTGTGGCTGCTCAGGAATGAGCTTCCCATAAAAGCACCTTCAGTGATCTGCTGGGTTCTCTCTGGACACGCCTGCTGTTGCGTAGCAAGCAAGTCTGAGATGACTGCAGTTTAGAAGCAGGAACCATATAACAGAAAGTGGAATCGTTTCAAGATAAACCACTTCTTCCTGAAGGGAATTATTATGACCTAGTAAAAATTGATCATTTCAACTACTTAGTTACTGACCGCAAGTCCCTACTTAGTTACTCTGAAGCTTCGAGTGAACGGTTGTTGCAAAATTCATCTTTAACTAAAATTTCACACTCCGATCCAAAATTTCTTTTACCTTGCCTGAAATACTGTATTTTCACTGTGTGTATTACATGGGCCCTTATTGCTTTCCTTTGTTATGAAGATGTTGTGTTCCACTTTTTTCCTCAGAGAGATTGTATAGAGCCTTTTGTCCTAACATGGGATAATATCAATCGTTCTAACGCCAGTTTCTTTCTACATAACTTCTCTCTGAGAGGATTCACAGTGCACAGAGTACGGAGCTGTTGTGGAAAGCTGTGCTTTTGTTTAGATACCATCTTCTCCTTATTCTTGTTCTTTCTTCAGACTGTCAATGAGCTGTGTCTTGCTTCCAATAAATTTTGAGATTAACTACTTGTTTGCACTCTTATGACCTGTTGCAATAAATACTACTTGTCACACATTCTAATATTGTTCAGTGTTTGGAAAAATAAACCATAAAAATTGATTTGTGATTCTCTTTTTAATTATTCATCTTTATTTTAAGAAGGAGGGCTGGGGATTTAGCTCAGTGGTTCCGCTGCCTGCCTTACAAGGACAAGGTCCCGAGTTCAATCCCCGGTACCATTAAAAAAAAAAAAAAAAAAAAGGGTAACCCTGAAGACCGACTGAAGATTTTTTTTCCTTCTCTTGACTCTGACATGAATCTTTTCTTATTGTAAGCAAATCACTTCGTTTTCTTAATTTACTTCCCCTTTAAATAAGAGCAATTTGTATCCACTCTTACAGATACTATGAGTTGGTAGAATTTGAAAATACATGTGATTCCCTTAAAGTTCTCACTGTTAGGGCCGGGGATTTAGCTTAGTGATTCTGCTGCCTGCCTTGCAAGCGCAACGACCCGAGTTCGATCCCTGGTACGGGTGGGGGAGAGCTCTCACTGTTAAACAAACAAAAATGAATAAACCAGGCCTGGTGGTGCATACCCCTAAATCCAGGACTCTGGGAGAATCAGAAGTTTGAGTTCAGCCTAGGCAACTTCATGATTTAAGGAGACCCTGCCCTTACCCCCACCCCCCAAAAAAGGCTGGGGATGTAGCTCAGTGAGAAAACTTTGGGTTCAATCCCCGGTACAAAAAACAAAAAAGAAGGGTGGGGATTTAGCTCAGTGGTGCTGCTGCCTGTCTCGCAAGTGCAAGGTCCTGAGTTCGATCCCCCGGAAGAAGAAGAAGGAGAGGGAAAAATAATTATTTTATTTTTTTTTTGTCATGTAGTTTTGTTATGTAGTTATGTAGTTATGTATTTCAGGCTGGCCTTGAATGCATTATGGCCTCTAACCTGCTGTAGTCTTCCTGCCTCAGCCTCCTAAGTGTAAGGGTTATGGGGTGTGGCACCACCGTACTCTACTTTTAATTCATTTACCCCTAAAAGTCAGTAAACATAAAGCTATGTAAACACACACACACATATCCATTGATAGAACCACAAGGAAAAAAATAGACAAATCACAATCATATTTGTAGATTTGATGACGCATGAGAGACAAAAATAATAAAAGACTATAAAAGGAAGAATATGATGAATAAATTTGACCTAGTGGGCAAATACAGAGCATGGTATACCCAAAAATTAAAAAAAAAAAAACAGACTTAGAACATTTTCCCAAAAAATCAATCAAATGCACAGCCATAAGACAACTCAATTAATTATACAAATTTAAAATCAGTGTATTTTTGAACCGTGGTATAGTTAAACACTAACAACAAACAAAGAGGGAAAAATTCTGTGACTTTTGAAATTAAGAAAGTTGTTTTACATAATTCTCAAGTTTAACAGGACAGATTACAACAGAATTTAAAAAAGAGATTGAGGTCAAGCCAGGGCTTTAGCTCAGTGGTACTGCTGCCTGCCTAGCAAGCACAAGGACCTGAGTTTAATCCCCCATACAAAAAAAAAAAAAAAAAAAAAAAAAAAAAAAAAAAAAAAAAAAAAAGGAA